AGCAAACAAAAATCTATGAAGTATCAGGCACTGAAATTTTCTTACAAAATTGGGTACATCCATGAAGTATGTCTACTGCCCTTTGCCTACATATTGTAACATTTTAGAGTCAGTTTTGCATTTTTTCTCTTTGTAAACACTAATATGTGTTAGTACATAACCAAAGAGTATCTTCACTTTTATTATATACTGCAACAGGAGAGGCGATAGCCAATGGGCTCAGAGATACCTAGACCAAATCACCACATCAAAGGAAAACGAAACTACCTTTTTAAGAAATTGAAGACACCAAATGAGCAGCCAATTATATCGTTTTTCAACAACATTTAGGTTTGAACAGTTTCGAAGCAACAGGAATGAAGAACATGCATTAACTGATTCTGTGAATGTCTTTCTGTGGCTACAACAACAGCTCAAGCACCAGTCACTTAATTTGTCATCCTGCCTTTTACTGTCTGTTACTGTCCAAGGTTCAGTGATTACTAAGAGGAGGGTGGGTGTGTAATCACCTAAAATCAGAATATCCTGCATTGAAAGAGACCCACAAGGATCACTGAATTCGCCCCCTGGCCCTGCACAGACACCCCAACAATCCTACCCTGTCCCTGAGAGCATTTTCCAAATTTTCACGGATCACCAGCAGACTTGGGGCCGTGACCATTCCTCGGGGAGCTTTTCCAGGGCCCAACCACCCTTTGCGGGAAGAATCTTAAACTGATACCCAGCCTAATCCCTCCGCTGACACAGCTCCAGCCATTCCCTCAGGTCCTGCCCCTGAGCAGAGACCAGAAATCAGAGCTGCCCCTTCGCTTCCTCTCATGAGGAAGCTGTAGACCATGAGGAGGTCTGACCTCAGTCTCCTTTACTTGTGGCAGAACAAACCAAGTGACCTCAGCCATTCTTCACATGGCTTCCCCTCCAGACCCTTCACAATTTACTCTTTTACACTACTGTGTAAGGTAATTTCACTGAAAGAGCCAAAATGGGAGTGTCTGTTATTTCTAATATTAGACTTGGCAAACAAAAAAAAAAACAAACAAACAAAAAAAAAAAAMCCCCCCCAAAAAAAAAAMCCCACAAAAAAAAACCCAAAAAAACCACCAAAATCCCAAACAGGAATTCTCCTTGTTGCTTTGAAAGCTCCTAYGCTCGTGCTATAAAGAAACTTTCTGGCATTACAAGCGTCTTAGGCGTTGGGTCCCCCAAGTACCTAGTGAGCACTACTCTGCCTCACTTTTCTCTCCTAAACCACACAGTAGTACTATCAACTGTTATCTCTGATCTAGCTTTTTCTCCAACGTTCGGAAGAAGCAGTGAGCTGCTACGGCTAATTCCAAGGATGAAAACTGATCAGAAATGCACTGGAAAAATACTGGCTTGCATTTCTCACTATTTTTCCTTTTTTTCAACTGCTGTAACTACATAAAAAAGACCAGAGCTGTAAGGAGTGGTAACATCTTTTATCAAATCAACTGATACAGCCTGAAAAACTAGACCTTTTCATGCATATATGTTTGCTATTTTTATCTCACTAATACAGTAAGAAACCTTCCTTAATGGCTTCCCATTTTCCTGGATCTATACATATGAAGTAGGAATTTAGTTACAACTTTCCTCAGCAATACTTTCTATTCATATGCCAGGCTATAAGTTAGTAACAAGTTAGTAACTTACAACACACCRGATCAAAAGACATAGGCAGATAAGGAATTTTGGGCTCCCTTTTATTCCTACAAGAACTAAGTTTGTTAGGATAACTGACTTTTATAGTCAAAAATATATTAATCCTTATAAAAGTTCCAGTCAGTAGGGCAAACAAAAATACAGAAAAGTTTTCAAACTAAGTGAATAAGCTAGTAGAAATACATCACTTGATTTCTAACTGAAAAGCAAAACTGAATGCAGGGAGATARAATTCACACCACAACTTATACATATTAATAATTAATATTGCTAAGTATGTACTTTTTAAGTTATAATGATAAGTCTATATAACAGTACCGTCATTCCTAATACATCCATTATTTTCTCCATGTAATACYCAACAAGACTGTCTACTTTTATTTTACTACACCTTCATTTTGTGTAAAAAAAAAAAAAAAAAAATCACATTTTATACTTATTGTGTTTCCTCCAAAAAGCATTGGCAATGCAATGCACGAAAACCACAAATTCTAGCAACTACAGGGTTAGCAAGGTAACACTGGGTAAACCTACCAAGGATTTCTTGTTCAAAATAAAAAAAAGTTAGGAAAGGACTACGAGGCTTGGCTCATGTCACTTTTGTAGGCTTTACAGGACTGGTGTTTAAGATGTATGTCACTGCTCACCCTTACACCTTCTTTCTTCAAAGCTCASAGTTTAACATTCTATTCACATTTAGTTAAAAATAAATATTTAATACTGAAGTTGTTCTACGATGCAAGAACAGCTAAAATGAAGGGCCTCTGCTGCCACAGTGACCAGATTTCCAAGGCAGGTAGATCAATAAAAAAAAGCTCAAGCACAGTTTCTATGTGTGAGTAGAATGCTTTATAATAGTTTGCAAATAACTATGCACTTGCCGTAACCAGCTGTTCTTAAATTATGAATACGCAACCAATTCATGTTAAAGCTAAATTCCGGCACTGTTTCTACTGGGAAATCCTAGTATTTTTTTGCACATTACACATGTTAGTCCCGTTAAGGACACAAATCGCAGGAACAAATAGGACCAAACTATCAGCATTTCATCACTAAGTCCACTAGCACAGCAAGAGCTGGTAATCTTTAGAACTCTCCCACAACAGTTCAGGCAATACAAAGCCAAAAAAAAAAAAAAAAAAAAAAAAAAAAAAAAAAAAAAAAAAAAAAAAGGCTCCAGAGCAAGCCTCTTTGCCCAAGGCTTTGCTTTAGCCAATCACCTGCTCTGACTAGCTTGAAGGCTTGCACCAAGCCTCAAACACTTAAAAACATCATTCATAAAAACAAAGACAGGACACTGAATTATACACTATTAACCTCCAGGCTTTGTATACAAAGACCTAAGATTTATTTATGTGCTAGCCTGTTAAGAGCTTTAGCACCCTGTTCTTTACACCAAACTAGCTGCTAATTTGATGCACAATGTCTTTGATTAATGAGTGTATGCCAGAATAGTGCAAGAACAAAAAAGGTGGCAAAATCCACACAATTATGTCCCTGTGTACCGATGGACCACAGCAGTGATTTCTGTCCAACCTGGCTTCCTGCTGTGGAAAGACTGAGGGCTGAGGACAGAGTTGTGGGATTACTTTGCTGATTATACTTTGATACTACACACCACACTTCTAAAGTAAGTATATGGTAAAATGCAATGAATCGTTTATAAAGAATCTTTCAGCATTAGAACAACAATAATTCATTAACACTAATTGATTAATAAATAGGCTCACAATCCAAAAACATTATCTATGTACTCGAAGTGAAAAAAATAGATTTCAAGTTTCTGACTTCTCATCCAACAGACTCAGGTTCAAGCTCAAGAATACCTAGGCAGATTATTTTGTGCCTTTAAATGACTGTATTAAATACTGTAAAGAAAATATAGTTTACACTTCCTGTAATTTATAGGAGTAAGAATACTTTGGCAGGGTTCATTATTAATCAAAAAAAGAAAATTCTTCATTACGCTTTCCAACAGTTCCAGAGCAGAACTAAGTTCTGTGTGAGGCTCCAAAAAGACGACAGCATTTTCTGACAGTCACTGTATTATTTCTAAGCCTACCTTCTTTCAGAGGCTTTATACTGCAAACATTACCTGTGACAAGTATTTAAACTTAGCAGTCCCACTCATTTCAAAGCCACCATTACTATTGCAAAGAGTCTATCAGGTAGACCGATTTTTCATGCAATTTTTCTTCACATTTTCAGTAGCTGGAATTTTAAGGTTTTGGGAAATTCCTCTCTCAGGGGCTAGAAAAATCTCTGCAATCTCTTCAAACCAAGGCTTAACTCATTCAGCTCTTTACAATGCCTGACCTACATCAAGTGAAAAGACTCTTATGCCCTTCACACGCAGAAAACAAGACATTCAAGAGGCCCTGAAGGGTATGAGCAGCAAGGTAATGGGAGAAAATTCACTTAAAAGGCAACAGGAATCATACAGACAGTGACAAGCCCAGCACACCTTTTCCTAAACCCATATATTCAGAGACTATGGGTTTGAAAGATCATCTATCACTAAGCAAGATTTTAGAACATATACTTGTTTTGGTATCTTTTTTCCAATGATCTCAAAGATATTCACATAAAAAGGGAAGGAACTATTATTAGGAATTCCGTCAAATTAATTCTGTTAAACTATGCAGGGAAACCCCTTGTGTATCCTCCTTTCCTTCTTACTATATTAAAAAAACTGAAACAAGCATAAGACTTCCCTACGCTTCAAGAGTGTTTCTTTCACTTGGTGTCTCATGAAATGCTAGTATCACAGTAAAATAAATTGCAATTTCTCCTCCCCAGAAAAGAAACAAAAATCTAATTGATAYCATGAAACTACTACTTTTATTATTTCTTTCCATTTAAATCCTCAAGGAACTTCTGTATCAGACTTTAACGAAGTACACTTGTTTTTTTTTTTTCTTTTTAAGGTATGGCTCAAGACCATGGCACTATATAATGGTAAATTTAGGACAGTAAACAGCTAAAACATTAAACACAAACTTAACAGAGCTAGTAAGTCAAACTGTGTGCTAACTCGATTAAATGTTCTACATACCTTTTTTCCACCTAAAATTGTACGATTAAGAGCCAAAGTAGCAGCAAAATACTGCATCTTGCCCGGCCCTTCCGCAGAGACTGAATGAATACATGGTCCCAGTTTTGTTTAATGACAACACACATTCTGCTTACCCAGCCGTAGCAATTACTCCGCAGAATAACAAACCACGCATTTCCGTTTTCAAGGAAACAACTACCCGGCACATCACAGATTAAAGTCAGTGGAGACAKCTCTTTTTTCATCCTCTACCTCCAATTACCTGTGATGTTGGTAGAAGAGTAAACTCTTCGACGAAGAGTCCATATCCATGTAACAGGGAAACTAATACTGTCTCACCTCCATAAAGTCCTAAGAAACGCAAATTAAAAATTAATGTGAGCCCACTATTTTTCTCGCACAAGTCTTCTGGTGATTCCTTGTTGATTTCTTTGCTGCTATTTACAATAAAAATTGTTTTAAAGTAAAAATGTAGTAGTATTAAAAGTAACTTTTCAAGCGTAGATGTCAGTTAAAAAAAGGATGTTTCATTTCCTTATGCGATGCAGTGGGGATCATCTGTGCCTAAATTCCGAATGCTGCACAGTGTTCGTCAACACCTACTTCCTCTTTCTGTAAAATACGTTGACCAACATATACTTAGTACACTTTGTCTGTATTCAGGATGTTGAAACTATCAAATAATCATAAAAATCACTGCTGTCCTTGACAACTGTTGCAGTGTTTCTTGTGGTGACAATTAAAAATCACAAACTAGCTTACAATGTGGTACGCCATAATTTACTGAATAATACTAAATAATATTATTAAATAATATTATTAATTAATAATAATATTAAACTAAACTCAGAAGTTGAACCACATTTGGGAGAAAACAGGTAGACTACAGTAATTTTCCTTGGGCCAAATTACCTAAATGATGAAAATACAAAGTATCACTCTCATGTACTCTATTAGAATTGTCATTTAAAAAAAAAAAAAAAAAAAAGACATTCTACCATTATTCACACTGTTTAGTTTTTTTAAAGTTACCTGTCTATTAGAGTCTGGGAGATGGATCACACTGAAGGGATTTCAACATACAGTGTTCATACAGGAAAACCCTTATGTGCCAGAGGGACAGGGGGGAAGAAGGGTGTAAGAAACTACATTTTTTGGTTATACCTTCCAATAGTCAGGATCTCCTATTCCCAAATACACCATTATATGAATACTCCCTTTGCTTACAAGAAAAGGTAAGACCTACGATTAAACAAGTAATGCCCGCTTGAAGCAAACATAGAATTTCTTGAACACTGAAGATTCCTTAACAATTCCTTGTGCTTCCTCTATATACACTTTACAAAAATTACCCTGGGTACCATTTTTTTAACATTATGCAGTATTTTGATTTTGCAGCCTTTTGATAAAAACATGCATGTAGTTCACTATGAGACATGAAAGCTATACTACCATTTTCAGAAACTACTCATCTTCTGTTGCTCACCATTTATAACCTATCCAGTCTTCTAGTCCTTTGTTGCATTTATAATTTATACTCACCTGTTGTACAACATGCTTTCAACTATTTAAATGTTTTAATTTACTCAGTATTCACATAGATTACAAATACTGAATCCAACCACACTTTCTGATGCATTAAGAAAAATAAAGCAAGCATCTGACACTTGTTCTAACGTAACCTTAAGGTCGCTTTAAGTCCAGCATTCAATACCGATTTGGATAGAAACTCTTGATGTACTAACAGCTACGCCTATTACTTTCTATGTTAACTTTTGCCAATATTTTTCCCAACCCCGGAGACAAACAAAATGCAAATTAAATACAAGTAGTTTCATGTTCTGCATAGTAAGACCTTAAAATGCAACAAGTCAAACAAGCAGCGACAGAAGAATGGAAAACCAGACCTTTACCTACAACAGTTATTCCTTATCAAGGACACCCCGTTTTAGTAAGTCATGTGACCAGAAAAACTTCTATGAGATTCAAAAAGAAAAAACTGAGACAGAACAGCGCCTTTTACTGTTTTCCCTTTCACAACAGCTGATGCAAAACCTGTAGTCAGAGGAAGAGAGATTTGCTGTTGGGCTTTGCTGTTGTGAGGTTGGTTCTTTCAATGAGTTAAGCGTAGTTACTGCGYTTAGCCACACACATTATACAGTACCTGGAACATAACCCAAACTACATGTAATATTCATAGGTGCTTTACCGACAGAATCTTTTAATAATATAGGTCAATAAATTTGTTGCTTTCAAACATACCTCCAAGCCTGTCTTTTAAAAATGGAGGTCTGTATTGCCATGCTCCTCATGCCAAGAAGATGCTGTTTATTTCTCAGGCAAGATCTATACCAAGGGTTTCATGTAAACTTCACATCAGATTAATACTTGACATGAACAAAAACAATGCAGATCTCCAGATAATTTGTTATTTAACGTAGTAACTTCAGAACGGTTTTTTAAGTAACCGAACATACTAAATACTTAGGCAAGGGCAGAAAAAAAAACGGGGGGGGGAATAACCCAAATGCATGATTGTTTTCCGGTTATGAAACCAGACACCAGTTAAAGAAGCATATTCACAATGCCCCTGTACGTGCAGGCTAAACCAGGAACGTTTCTCTTTAAAGTGCGGTTTACAACACGTTAGATCAGGAATTCCAAGGGAAAGCACAGAGTCTTGGAGAAAAAGCCCCTTAAACTTTATATGACGTCACTATCAGTCCCTGTAACATTTCCTAAACTTTGATGCTTATCCAGAAGAGCTTTCAGGTTTTCTACTCATTCCCTCCTAAAAGAGACGGACCGACTTTGGAATAGAAATTTGCCCAAGATGGCGAAAGGCTTGTTGTTTAGAGGGCAGAAAAATGGAGGATATTGTAATATACACAAAGGGATAAATTTCAACAACTCGGCCCAGCGCTGCAGCTGCTTGTCTCTCTTAACAAGGAACGGGACACGCACAAAGCCGCGGACAGGGGGGCCCGGAGCGAGCTGGGTGTGCGGAGCGGCGCCCGCTCCCGGCCCGCGGCGCGCCCCGCACCGCGCGGGGGGGGAAGGAGCGCCYACTCACCATCGCGCGGGAGCGGGGCCGCCCGCGCACAGGCAGCGCGTGCTCCGGCCGCTCCCCTGCGGCCGCTCCGCGCGGCCCCGCCGAGCGCCTCGCGGCCGCCCTGACAGCGCCGGCCGAGGGGAGCGGGGCAGCGCCCGCCGGCGAGAAGGGAGCGAGGCGGGAGGGCCGCCGGGAGCGGAGCGTACCGCACAGCGCCACACAAAAGAGCCAAGCGGTGGCCGCTAGCAACCGMCGCGCCGCGCCGCCCCGGAGGCTGCGGGCGTCCGTCGCCAGAGACATGACCGGCGCCGCCCGGCCAAGGCACGGGCGTGCGGCCATGAGTAAAGTTTAAAATCGCTGGGAATACGGCCGTCCCGTCAGCAGATATCCCAGCCGCAGCCCTTCCCCAGGACTCACCTCCACGCAGCCACTCCGCCTCCCGTCCGAAGCCTTGCTCGGGCAGGGCCCCGCAGCAGGACTCGCGCTCGGCCCACATAACAAAGGGGCGATACGCACCAGCGGGGACGCGGCCAGCGAGGCGGGCGCTGCCCGGGTTCGGGAGCCCCGGCGCGGCACAACGCCATCCCACCCCAGCCGCTCACCTGGGAGAAGCTCCGCCGCTCGATGCGCGGGTTGCGCGGCTCTCTCTCTGCCGTTCCCTTCCCTCCGCGCTGTGGTGCGGTGCAGGCGGCGCACACCGGGCCGGCCCTTCCCGGCGCTCCCCGGAGCCGCGCGCAGCGCGCGGAGGGGCTGGCGGGGGTCGCGCACCCGCGGCCCCGGTGACATCAGCGACAGCGGCGGCGGGGACGAGCCGGGATCCGGCATCGGGCGGGCGGGATGTGGATCTTGTTGCAGAACCGGCCCCCGCGCCCCGTGTCCGCCCCGGGGTTTGGAAAAGTTCTGAACCCGGCGACAGAAAGTTCCAGTCGGCGTTGGGTCATTTGTTAACGATGACTTTATCAGTCGGGGTAGAAGTGAAATCGCCCACCCTAAAAACCTACAAATTAAGTTCAGATTAAAAAAAAAAAAATGTAAAGCAGCAATAGAATCTGTGATACAAACAACTGCCATCTACGAAAAGAAAAAAAAAAAAAAGATCCATTTTTAAAAGAGGAGACATTTCAAAGAAGCAACGTTCAACTTTGGCGTTCTTGAAGTACTAGATTACTAGTACTAGGTAAATTCAAGTAAAGCAGGCAACAATGTGGTGGAATTAAATTAAAATCAAGTTTAAATACGAACATTGACCAGCTCTAGACACAAGAATTAAAATAAAAAATACGTCTTATGAAAACCAATATTCTTGCCTTGCCTGAATCAACCCATAGAGGTAATCTGTAGAGTAGTAAAAGCTGTGCTTCCCTACACCAACCGTTCACACTGCACTCGTGGGATCCTCCTTTTTCTTTTGTCCTTCTATCTTTGGCAAAGTCTCAAACTCAAATAGGGTTAAAGTACACTTCAAGAACCAAAGGACTGCTCCTTACAAACCGTAACACTATAAGAAAGTTATACCACAGTGCAATTAAGAAAATCTAAATTATTTCAGTATGAGTTAGTAAAAACATACTTGCAGAATCCGAGAATATGTACAGCTTGCTAATCTTGTTAAATACTACATATAAGCATTTAAAAAAATCAACAATATTTCTAAATAAAGCCAATCTACACATAAAGAAATAAACCCATGTAGAATGATGCCATTGTTTTCTGTTTCCTCCTCAGCCACTGGCTGCTATTTTAATTGTGTTGGAGGATCTTCATTAGTATTAACACATGGGGAGATTTCACAAAGCTGCTTCATTAGGAAAAAAAAAAAAAAAGCCTGGCAGACTAGCTCTTTTTGCATGCAATGAGAATGTCAGCCTTACCTCGGTCATTTGTAACATAATAAGTGCAAGCACAATGATTGCAATGCAGGAACATTGGGGGAAGGGCAAAAGCACTGCCTAATACGGACACGAGAAAAGAAAGCTTCTCATTACAGAGAAAAGAAAGCTTCTCATTACAGAGTAAAATATATGCTAAAATTAGTGAAGATGATGTTTCATGAGACTAATTCTAAATACATTTATTTGTTGATATGTTTAAAGTATTATTTTTGTACTAGGCTATTTCATTCTAAGGATTCACATCCAGCAGCAAAGGTTTCCTAGCATTTATTGATTTTTTTTTTTTCACCACATTCCTGGAATACAGATTTTAATCATTTCACTACACCACACTCAGTAATTTCATTAAAAAATGGAAGCTTTCATCCCCAGAAAGGCATTTAATTTCAATGACACACTATTTTTTTTAGCAGCAAACTGTCTCAACAGTAAAAGCTGGCCTAAGGTTCAAATGCATAATTTAGTCCCAAATTCTCCATGCTCTGCATTCCTTTGAAGCTATAATTTGACTAACTACCTAATAACTGTAATAAGGACAATGATTTCCTTATAATGCGTTATTAACCCACATTTAATTAACTCAGAGATTGAGCTCTGTATAGGTTTGATTGGGTCAGTACCTTTCTAACCTCAAAATCTACTAATAATGGTCTTAAAGMAAGTGTGTAGGGTAAGAATGCATATGGATACAATAAGCAGCTGCTTTGCTCAGAATGTTTTGCATCAAAAACTCATGCATTTTGCAATACAACAGTACCGTCACTCATGAGATAACAGAATTTTGTAAGGGGAAACAATGAATTTAGATAATTCACTATCATATATACTGGCCATTTGGTGCGTATTTAATATTTCTGCTTGTAACATTTAAAATAAATTCTAGGATGTATTATTATTACGACCTCTCCAAATAACCATAATAAATTATTTCTTGTTGTTGTTAATAAGAGGAATTATAGTATCTCATGACAAATAAAAATGTGTGTAAAAATGTTTGGACAATGTTACGTAATCTTGTTTTCTGTAATGTTCGGCAGGACAGAATTTAATCAATGTGATCACAGAACCACAAGTCCCAACACATACTTCTCTTCATGAAGTTCAGTCAACTATCCAAATTTACGTCACTGGGTTATATATAACATCAAAATATGAACAATATCTTTCTCATTGTACTGAATATTAATTTGGCTTTCTGTCAACTATTTAATACAGTTTTAAGTAGCTATTTTGTATTTTATCTACACCAAAATATGTTAAAATGTTACATTTTTTCCACTAGTCACAAACAAGTCAGTCTTACTGACTGCAAAACTTACAAAGGTAAATATGTATTAACAGTTGGTTTTTTTAATATGCTTATTCAACAGAATAAGCTGCTGTTAATGGATGCTCCTGATGCATTTAAAGTGATTAACTGTTACATCAGAAAGGTCCCTAGTTTTCAAATTTGTCTGTTCTCCCCCAAGCAATACGAAAGCTGGAACTCCCAATTTTTAAAAATGTAGATTCAAATTGAAGCACATATACTACAAAAACAGGGATTTTTTTTCTTTTGCTCCCTTTTCATGATGAATTACTTACAAATACAATTAACCTTTCCATTCTTTTCTGGCTTCCAGCGTAAATACCATTAAAAAAATACACCGTGCCAGAGTTTTGTAGTTCCCTTAGTATTTTCGGCTATGCTTTTTGACCCTATAATTATATTTTTTTAACTAGCTACATGCCCCAATTCATTCACTTCTTAACTGCTGAATTGGGGGAAAACAGAATATAATAAGCACCATATTTACAGACATGTAACCTCACATTTCAGTAATTACACTGTTGTAGCTAGGGCCATTTATGTATCATACATATGCATCTGGAAGGTCGGATCCAAAATTCCTATGAGACTRTGGAGGTGGAGATCACCATAATGATCTCTCCGAAGCAAAGCCAGTTTAAGAGATTTCTCTCTTCTGCACTTCTACTCCCAGGCTAGCAGCACAGGTTTGCAACCCTTCATTTTTAGCAATCCAGCTGTTTGTGGGGCTACACTAAAGTTAAAACTCACTCAACATTTCCATCCTCTGTTCCTGTAACCTGCTCTGTTCGGGGCTGACCTTCTTATCCACCTAAACAAACAAAAAGTCTTTGAAAGTATTTTAAAAGGCTATGCAGTATACAGTAGGGACTAGAAACAATATTATATACTTCCATTAACAGGTGTCCCTGTGCACTGTTTTTCAAAGCATGCATTTTATTATTACAAAATACAGTAAAACAGATTGGCCACACTGTAAGGACCAGTCAAAAGTTATCACCAATTAAAATAACAAAATTTTTGCAAGGCTAGTAGGACTTGTCCTTCCCCTGATAAAGGATAGAAATAGCTGGCATTTAATGAATGTAATTAATTAAAAAATTAAAAGGTTGATTTTCATAGAAACCTGAATATAGCAATCAATTATGAGTGCAATCTGGTTTTTAAAATATTACATGCAAAAATATTGCAAAGCCTTTTTGCTGAATTTGTTTTGTATCTAGGAGGTTTATCATCGTTCCAGATACTTGTCAGCATTTGCAGGTGTTATGCTCCCACTCGCTGACAGCTATTTATACAATTTATCATTTCTACTCATGGCTTTATACCCGTGGTTTTATTATGCCACCCAGGAGTGGTCAAATGAGTATCTACTACTCCTCACTACAATGAATGAGGCTTGAGGTACAAAAGGCGCAGGAACATTTAAAAGCATAAATAAGTTTATGAAATGTATAATACAAATGTAACAGTTTTGCAGCTGGATCAATGTGTTCACCACTAAGTTGCTTTCATTAAGAAATGCTGTGGAATTGTTGAAAATCAGTATGTAGGTAACTTTTCTTTTAAACATTTGCAAAAGTGCGGAGCTAAATTGATCTTCCAAATAGCCATAACTGGTTTGCATAAAATACAGATTTGAAGAACCAAAATAAGAACTTCTGAAGAATGCGAAAGAATCTAGATTGCGACCTCACACGTTCTATAAAAGCCTAGAAATCTTATCTAAGGAGTTTCTGTATCAGCCTATGTTACAGACAATTTACCAAATAGACTTAATAGAAAGTGCACCTTTCTTGCAACACATCTCACTGTGAAAGAGGTAAAAGAGCTATGCATTATTTTCCTTCACTCTTAAATTGTTAAAGGATACTTCTGCTCGTCTTAAAAGATAGAGAAATCTATGATTTGTTCTGCCAATCCCATTTCAGCAGTATCTCATACTCCAGTCTTGCCTTCCATAGCTCCTCCAGCATCTCTTTCACGTCTACAAAGAGTCTTTTTATCAACCAATCAAATCTCTAAAAGTGAGAAATGCCCATTCAATCTAAACAATCAAAATATGAAACCTTTGCAAGTAAAGAGATAAAAACATGTTCTTCACCAGGTCCCTTCTGTACTGGTATTCCTGTTACCTCTTACAGTTAAAATATCTGTTTCTGTCTTGTGCTCGGAACCAAGCACAAGTATGGTTTTTAAGTATGAGGGTGCTTTCATCTGCAAATTTGGAGCATATATCCAGGATGTTATATTTACCCTTGGAATGAATGAAAAACCAGCTCATGTTAAATTATTGCATAAATAGTTGTCAGCAAGCGGTAGCATAACATCTGCAAACATGTTAAATATTTCAGTCAGGTAATAAATTACTTCTACGTTGGAAAAGACTTACGTTACATTTTTCTATTTGACTGGAAAAGCATATAAGGCCCTGATAATCTTTGATTACCATGACATTTCACATTGTTCTACCAAAATAATTTCCAATTAAAGTGGCCAAAAGACATATACAAACAAAAGAATCAGTGATTACTTTTGTATCATTTGTTT